ATAGATAGATAGATAGATAGATAGATAGATAGATAGATAGATAGATAGATAGATAGATAGATAGATAGATGTTATGACTTTTACAGAGATGTGGCTGCCCTCTTTCATCCCAGGCACCTTACAGATGACATTACCTATGGACAAGACAGCAGCCCAGACTATTTACCTGCACAGCAAATGATGCAGCATCATTGTAGCCAAGAACTGATCCCCTGACCCAGAAGCTTTGTCAATAAACCGCATGCAGTTTTATCTCCCTTTAGATATAACTAGTAACTGTTACTGCTGCCTACGTAGCTTTTAATTGTTTCACAGTTTTAAGTCACTCATCTGCTACACCAACAAAGTACAGCCTGATCATTCAGATGAGGGTACATATTATAATGAGGGACTTGCATCATGTTTACTAAAACATAAGTCAGGATTACAGAACAGCCCCTCTTCCCCATCTGGAGGAGTCTGACCATATCTCCCTGCTCTCGATTCTAGCTTTCACATCCCTTAAGAGAAAAATAAGAGCAAACAACACAGGCTTCTATAATCTGGTCTGGGACCTCTCTCTCTAAGCCTAAGGAATGTTTTGATAAAACTAATAGGGAGCTGTTATCTCTTTAAAGTCTGGAGGAATACAATAAGATTTTTCTTTGTCACCTCTAGTACTTCTCAAACAGTGTGGCAGTTAAAAAAAACACATTGAATTATCTTCAGCCAAAAGCCTTGGATGCCAAGCATACTGAAAAAGCTAAATTTAATGCTGCAGTAAAGACAGGTCAGAACAATCTATAGGCCAGAGGTTCAAAAAGAATCAAAACACAACACATGCTGATTCATCATTGGTCAAAAGATAAAACCATTTCTTTGCCCGTTTTGAGATAAGTGATCCAGCAGATCTGTGCCACTCTCAACAGTTTCCACCAACAGTGTCCATATTCTGCAGTAATAAGATGAAGTTGGTTAACCCAAAAGAAAGCTGCTATTCTTAATGGTGTGTGGGGGTATGGGATTTAGGCCAGTACAAAACAACTTGCAGAGGTGTTGATACAAACCTTTAACTTGTCCCTAAAGGGTTCACGACGCTACGGAAACCGGCAGACCAAACCAGATGAAAGTGCGCATTCAGCGTCTGCTCTGCCGATAATGCAAGCGTAGAAGAAGAAATGTGCTGTTTACCTGTGCAAAGAAAGAAACAACGAAAGAAAAATGTCTGAGGACTTCAGTGTTGAGGAAGAGCATGAGTTCTTTGCCGAGCTGAATGCGCACTTTCGTCTGGTTTGGTCTGCCGCGGTTTCCGTAGACTCGTGAACGCGCTTTTAGGAAATCCTATACACTACTGTTTATGCTCTAAAAACATTCTAAATGACTTCGTTTCAAGTAAATTATGGACGCTACCCACTCAGGACACTTGGAATACATTGGACAAGCAGTATGGAGGAATATTGACATGTTTTTTGTGGACTTTTATGGACCTTTCTGCCTCGGGCACCATAGACCTCCATTATTTGAATGTCAGCAGACAGCAAGAAGCCTCCCAGATCTCCAGATGCATTTGAGATATCAAAAAAGTACTCCAGAGTGTTGTTCAGCATGGGGGTGAGTAGAAAATGAAGGCTAATCATATTTTGGGTGTACTATTCCTTTAAGGGTTTGAGTGCATAGGTCACAAGCTTGCAAAATTAGGAGAATTGGAACAATAATTGTGCCCCACATCATAATGAAGAAATTGAAAGTGAGAAGACCAATCCCTGTTTTTGCAAAATCCCTGTGACTGCCAAAAAAGTATGAGTAAACTGCAACAAGAACTTTTTTTGTATCCACACATATAAAATAAAAAATGAATTAGTTGAAAAAACACCCACAAACAAGTATTTTCTTCAGCACAAGCACTGGAGTGCAAATATTTTTTAATCTTATTTTTACATTAAACAAGTAAAATTCAAGCAAAAAATATTTGGCGTGTACAAAACATTTCTTAAATTAGAAAAGAATACAAAAATTCACTTTTGAATATATAACAAAATCTATGGGAGATTTTGGATCAAACTTGCTAGAAGAAAGAAAATGAAAAAAAGCATTTTAGGAAAAACAGTTATATATTTTTTTCCTACTGCTGATAAATAGTCAAAGTGATATGAGTCTAGTCCTTTAAGTTTAAAGAAAACTATTTACATCTCTTTCCTGGACTGCTAAAACCACTTCAATTGTTAAGAGGCATGAGCAGTATTTGTAATTTCTAAGACTGTTAAAATTGTTTAACACTGCTGGTTTTTTTCAGCCACTGTGCAGAACATAGCATGGTGATGTTCTCCTTGTCTTTGTGGAATAAGAGCTGTACGGCAGCAAACTGTCCCTGCAGCATGTGATTCACAATGCAGAAAAACTCAGGGATTGCTCTCTGCCCAATCGTGACAACACTGCATCATCCCACTATCTCAGCAGACCTACGAATATTTTAAAAGACTGTACACTCTCTACTACAAGCAATTTCAGCTTTTCCCATACTAGAGAAAACATACAATTGGAGCACAAACACCTTTAGATGTTTTTTACTTAAAGCCCTGTAGAATTAAATAAGCAAAAACTTCTTACTAGATATTTGTTTATTTCTGATGGCCTTTTCTAAATCTTTTATTTAGTTTAGTGTATTGAGTAAGTATACACATTGTGTGAATATGTTTTGTTGAAATTTATTAGGCACTGAGGTACGCAGAGTGGTGGCCTAGTGATTAGGGCATTATGCTTGGAATTCAGAGGTTCTGAGTTCAAGCCCCACTCCCACAGATAGCCACTCTGGGTCCCTGATTAAGACTCCTCAAGGGGATGGGTTAAATGCAAAGAGTTAATTTGTTGCTCTGTACTTTTGAAAGTGTACTGACAATAAAAAGCTGGGGGAAAAAATGGTATTAGGACTCTCGTTTTGTTGTAACTTGCTATTCCTTACATTAATAAAATTGACTTAATTACTGTATTGATTGATTCAGTCTAAAAAACAGTCTAATTGAAAACTGCTCTGTATATGCTACATTCAGCTCTGAAAACCTGGAGTTTGCTATGCTGTAGAGGGAGAGCAAAACAGAAACCTTAAAAAACTGTGTAGACAAAGAATTCTTATAACTTGAGGTTTGTAATAAATCATTTCTAGCCAGCCCCAGGATCTCAGCGGTCAGATAATCCAGCACCGCAGCCTGGTACACCGGGGCTCCGGCTCCCACTTGTTCCCAGTAGCTGTCTTTACGCAGCAGCCATGTGAAGACGAACCACTTGGAACTGGAGTCAGGCTCAGGGAGAGTGGCTCTTGGATTTAGCTCTGGCCTTTCTTGCGGTCTTGCCTCTTCCGCTCATTTGCAGATATCAACTTTACTTCTTACACAAGATCTATCTCTGATCATTGGGGCTCCTCT